AGAGGGCGATGGTTTTTTTGGTGGGACAGGGCAGTCAGACAAGGGTGTGGCTGACCACAAAGCCCCCGCCCCCTGTTCTTATTGTTTCTGCAAAGGGCGCCTACGGGCGCGCTAGTTGGGCTCCGCCCATTTCCATTTTTTTCTTCTATTTTAAACGTTCAAAAAAATAATGCAACACCAGACTTCAAACTCGCAACCAGCTTCTTCAAAGAAAACGACGGTAACCCTAGGCCATCGAAGGATTAGTGCTTTCTAAGGTTTTTTTTCCTTTATTTTATTTCTCTCTTCAATCGCGAGAATCCACCGGTATTGGAAAGCTTACACAAGCTTTCCGAACCAACTTTTTACCGATTCGCTGGTCATTTCGGGGGTGGTTTTATTCCAGTTTTATTTTTATTTATTTTTTAAACAAATCATGTTTTAAAAAAACTATGAATGTTTTTCAAATTTGATGAATTTTTTTTCAAATTTGATGAACTTTTAAATTCAGATGATTTTTTTAAATCAATGAACTTTTTTCAAATTTGATGAACTTTTTTTGAATTGAATGATTTTTAAATTTGGTGAACTTTTCAAATTTTATGAACTTTTTTAAAATTTCATGTACAGTTTTTAATTACGGATTTTTTTTCTAAAGTCAACCAGTCAATTGTTGAAAGATCAACCGTGACCAGTCAGCAGCAAAAGCAAGCAACACCGAAGGGACGTGACCACGCGAGCACACTTGCTTGGGCCGGGCCCAAGAGTGCGCCTGCCATGGGTGCCGAAACTCCTAGTTGGCGCCTTTGGCGCTGACTAGGAGCTCCTAGGGACCTTTGTGAAAAAAGAAGGGTCGACAAGAAAGAACGGGGATAATATGGCCCATCAGCCCAATATAACCCAAAAAATAAAGTGTTATTTTTCATAAATCCTTCTTGCACTTTATTTTTTAGAGTAGACGTAGAAACTTTGAAGCTGGTAGTTTAGCAAAGCTTTCCTTACTAGATCTTGGTAGACATGTGTGGCTTGATGTACCCCCACGATTGTTGTCGAATAAAGAGGAACTAGGTTTACTCAACGCGCGGATTACCGATCAAACAGGGCGTTGTAGGCGTCTCATCCAGGAGCTGGCGCACACAGCGGCTTGGTATGGGCCAACCCAGTTACACGAGTTGGGTGGTCGCCCGCTCGTTGTACGCTTGTTTTACGTTTGTCTGGTCAACGGTTCACTTCGCTAAAAAGAAAAGGTCAACGGTTCACCATTTGAACCAAGAAAAACCATGATTTTAGTTCGCAAAAATAAAAAAAAAGTTATGAATTCAAAATGTTCACAGATTATGAAAAGTTCATCAAATTTGAAAAAATGAATGTTTTGAAAAAGTTCACCGAGTTTCAATAAATCATAGAATTTGGAAAAAAATCATCGATTTGAAAAAACTTCATTGAATTTGAAAAAAATCATCAAATTTGGGAAAAAGTTCACCGAATTTGAAAATAAGTTCATCGATTTTGGAAAAAGTTCATTGAATTTGAAAAAATTGATTCTGGAAAAGGTTCGTTGATTTTGAAAAAAGTGCACCGAATTTGAAAAAAAGTTCAGCAAATTTAAAAAAATCATTGATTTTTTTTTTTGAAAAGTTCATCACTTTGTCTGCAGAAAAAAAAACACACACGTCTAGACCGTCAAATGAACTAATACAGGCTCATGTTGGATGGCGGCCTATGCCTATGTTGGATGGCTTCGAAAGTCCGGACGTATGCAAGTGATTTGAGGGTCTAAACCGTCAAGCGGATCAATACATGTTCACGTTGGATGGCCGCTTTTTTTAGAACGGAGGCTCAAGAAAGAGCCCGGCTTTGAATTAACAAAGCCATCAACCGGTCAGTATTACAAACTCGAAACCAACACAAGAAAGCAGAAAAACGACAAGATACAAAGGCGTTGGATGGCCGCTCATGCCTATGTTGGATGGCTTCAAAGGTCCAGACGTATGCAAGTGATTTGACTGTCGACTTCGGAGATGCCTGACTACGAGAGCAAGATACGAGCAGTAATGTTTCACTACTGAACGAACAGCGCGTGATTTGAGGGTCTAAACCGTAAGCAGACCAATACATGCTCATATTGAATGGCGGTCCATGCCTGTAGGAAAGTGATTTAAGGGTCAACTTTGAAGATGTAGGCAAGTGATTTAAGGGTTGACTTTGAAGATGCCCTGACTACGAGAGCAAGATACGAGCAGTAATGTTTCACTACAGGACTAACAGCCCGCGACCATGGAGCCAGATAAACCAGCGCACGCACCGCCGGACGTAAAGGCTTCACTAAAATTAGTTATCAACTACATCGAGTTACCACTAGGAAATTAATGATAAAAAGATTGGGTTTAGGCTTAGTTTAGCAAGTCTATATATATAGACCTCACATGGCTAGCATAGAACATAGTGGACACACACGGCCAACAAATATAGTCGATACAATGCAGAAGATTTTTAGTAATACAAGTCCATTGGCAATGCAACACATCATACGCATCACGGATGAGGTAGGAAAGACTTCTTAAGCTTTTTTTGGACCGGGGCTTTGACCATGCCTTCGAACAATTTGAACTCAAACTTCTTTCCAGCCTGCACACCAATCATAGCAGCCTGATGTACAAGCTTCTTACTTAACATCCCTAATTGTTTCAGCAGCATTCAATAGTGCCTGTATAAACGACAGTAAAAAAATCTATTAGATGATATGAAATATCTACTTGCAGAGGTTAAATCATCTAAACATTGACTATAAAGACCCATAAACAAACTATTATCCAATTAAATTAAAATTCCAACAACCGCTCTGCTCTTACTAACATTAGCAATTTTGTTCACGCCCTCTCTTTCTGACTGTATTGAGTATTCTTGTCATACAACACTCAGTTTCCGGAACTTGCAAGTTCTCTTCCATTCCATGCAACTCCCTGTGTTTCAAATTCTAGATTTGTCCCAAGTCTAACATTTCTATCTTTGGCCATCAATTCCTATAAATTTGTACAGTATAATGACGAGCATAATTCTCATGGCAAATCTAAAAATATAAATCTTATAATCTCAAACTATAGAGTGAATTTCACTTTTTATCCATAGTCTAACATTTGTGACAGCAATTACCACATTTAATAGGAATTCCTCCTGTTTACCCTATTTAATCCAACTCTAATATCTGACGAATGGTACGAATATAGGGACAGTACTGAACGCATTCACTAGTTAACATTCCCATTTAGTGAAACATTTGCCAGTTTATTCAGTTATATTTGGTAGGACTCGTTCATCAGGTCTACGTGGGCATGCGCGACTTCAACAATCCTAGCTGCTTCTACTACGATCTTGGTTGTTGCTACTGTCAGCTTGCTTCATCGATCGCTTGGCCGAAACCTGAAAAGAGAAGCTAGAGCATGCACACTTGTCCTGTACATGCATGGCACACAGAAATTTTATGCTACGTACTAGTACTAGAACAAAAACAATAATTACCAAAAATACAACCAAAATACTCTACTTAAGTGGACTACTACTAGTGCCCTATTATGCTCTGGCTAGCTCTCGCGTTTAGTTCTATCTGGCTAGCAGAAGGTGAGAACATTGTGGCAGCAACAGTTGCCACACAAAGGTACAGATGAGGACCTGAGAAGGTAGTCGGATATTAAATATGCCAGGGCAAAATATGTTTTTGATATTGCAAAGCCACATAGAGCTGATAACTCGGTGCAACCTTACAGAATGGGTTAAGTTTAAAAGGGGGTGAAAGCTGACACAACTTTTACTAAATGGGATAAGTGGGAAGAAATTCTGCTAAATGGGCCAATTGTTAAACTAGGGGGTGAAAAATGGAGTTCACACTAAACTATACGCATTTCTAGAAACCGATAGTTATTCAAGAATCAAGATAGAAAGAAAGGTTTGACTTTGGACAAAACTAGAATGACAACTAATATGAAGTAGAGGGAGACCCTAAATGTACTGCCATTTTTACAGGGGCCACAGATCCACTGCAATATTTCCCCTCAAATAAGCCAACCATAGGGATTGCCAATTTTGTCCCACTAAGAAACAGTTGGGTTAGCTAAGCTTACCTATTTTGCTTATTTTGTGTGATGGAAATAATTTCGGTTCCACAAAAGAAATAAATGATTAACACAAAAGCAAGATTATGTACCAAGTAGGTGCACACAACAAAGGAAAACATTGCTTTATTGGTGCACATAGTGCATCTTATTGTTTATAGACAATGGCCAGGGAAATTGTCATGAAACACACAATGCATGGAAGCTGAATCCTGGGCATGAGATAACCTACCAATGGTGTGCAATATTTTCCCCTCAAATAAGCCAACTATAGGATTATTTCCTTGGTGCACCGTTTCAACAACGGCTGTGGATCAATAGGGTTTAGTTACACCACATGGCGTGCAAGATACAGCACATGGCGCACTCATGAAATCATTCATGTGCAACACACCATAAGCAAGCAGAAACATCGGTTAGGGAACAATGCGGTGAAGTTAAGCTGGACAGTCTTTTACTTTTGTGCATTGAATGAAGCCTTTTTAATACATCTCATCAAACAGAAACCATAGAATTTAAATGTGGTAACAGGGAGCAGCAAGTGCTGAAATTTTGGACGGAAACGTAAATGCTAACAAGATAAATGCAGACACAATGTTCACCATCCTGAAACAAATACAGTAGTTATTCTGAAACAACAAATCAGATAGATCTAGAGAATACTAGCTGGTAGCTGCACATGATCAAACCAAATAATAAATAATGAAAACCAGAATTGTAATGGACGATGGAACACATTCTTTTGTGAGATTAACATGCACAACATAATAAGAACATAGATGTAACAAATCTACATCCACTCGGTAAAAGTACCTAAAGTACTCTCCTGCTGCCCGTACAAGCTGGTTTACCATTGATACTTCAGTTTGTACCTCATTTTGCTAAGCAAGAATGTGAAAGCTCTAAACAAAATTACCTGGTCGGTAAGAGAATGCCCAGATGCTTGGAGATCCCACTCTCAAGGTAGGTGAAATGATAACGCAGGGGTCTTCCAGAGCCAAAATTAGCCACGCCTTTTACAGTCTTGTTCCTCATATCAAGAGCAATCACACAGGCCTTACCCTCATGGGGATCAGGTGTGTGCATGAGGTAAACAACATCACCATCATGCAAGCTAAGAGCAGGATAGCCTACACAAATTTTCTTCAGGTTTGGCTTGGTATCATCACCCTCCTGCGGATTAGGTAACATTTGGGCATACACAGGGTTATCCACTGGGACATCATCACAGCATCTGATAGTGCAGTCCTTCTCCCAGTTACTACCAGAACCAATGCTTGAAATTTTTATCTTTTTTGTTGCAGCAATCCAACCTTCTAATATCGGGGAGCTTCCAGTGTATGAGCTCGGTCTGACATTATTGTGCATCTCGAAATACTTGATGTAACCTTGGAGGACAACGATGTTCCGAACAGACAACGGATAACGCTGTAGTGGCTCGGGCGACAGCGGCGAAGGCAGCGGGACGTAGCGAAGGCTCTGGTTGCTGTCAAGGAGGAGAAGGTCACAGATGATAATGCCGCGCCTAAGGTCGACCCAACCAACGGAGCCATGCTCCCCTCCGATGGTGATCCCCTTGTTGAGAGAATGGAACTCAAAATCCGGCGGCGAATCAAGGTGCATCAGCTTGGTGCTCCATGTCTTTGTCTTGGAGCTGTACAGGTGGAGATTAAAGTGCCCGTCGGTGAACTCCCGCTCAACGAAGGCCCTGCGGAGCACGGCGATGAAGAACATGTCCTGGTCGCGGCGGCGCAGCAACGCGACCTCGTGGTCGAAGAAGGTGAAGTCGGGGGGCGAGTGGACGAGCTTGACCGACGGCGGAGTGTTCTTGGTTCCGGCCTGGTAGACGAAGTAGCAGATGTTCTTGGGATACATGTACTGGCGCTCGGGGCAGATGGTGATGCAGAGCAGGGCGAGGCCGTCCTCCGTGTAGCAGACCTTGGGGATGCTGCCGTACGCGTCGGGCTTCAGATCTGGGCAGTGGACGGTGAAGCAGGAGACGCGCGGCGGGGCAGCCGGCCAGAAGGTGACCAGGATGCGCTTGCCCTTCTTCTTGGTCCTGCTCCTGCGGCCATTGGCAGTGGTGGCGTTGGTGCGGTCGCTGAGGTAGCCGAACGAGTCGATGAGGATGGTCTCCGGAAGAGGAGAGTCCGGATCCTCGGGGTGGATGGGCGGAGGGATCGTGAGCAGCCGGAATTCGTGGTCATCCATGCCCATGGCAACCGAGGAGGTGGATCGATGCGGATTTGTTTTCCTCGTGCGGGCCGAAGCAGGAAGGCGTCGTCGTACCTTGATTGACTCCACATGCGTTGATCAAAAGGCGCGGTACCTTGATTGACTCCGCATGCATGCGTTGAGCCCGCTGCTTGCACCGCGTCGTACAAATGAAAACGCGTTTAGAGCATCTCCAACAGGTGCCGCAAAAGACGCGCCCGTGCGGTAAAATTTAGTTTTAGTGCGCGCCGGCTGGTTTCGCGCGCTCCAACGGTGGCGGGAATTCACCGCGCGCGGGAAGCGCTTGCACGCGCGCGGGAGAAAGCGGCACGCTACGCGGTAGATTTGGCGCGCCGCTTTGCGCGCGCCTATAAAATGTCGCGCTCGCCACGCGCACAGACACAGCCACGCGCCCTCCCCTCGCAACCTCGCCGCTTCGCCACCTCGCCGCTTTCCGCGCCACCATGCCGCCACGCCGCTGGGGTTCTTCGGGCTACCGCGGCGTTCGCGAGCGCCCCAACGGCTGGTACTCCGCCGAGATCCGGTCCGGCGACGTCCGGCTCGGCCTCGGGTCGTTCCGGAGCGCGTACGAGGCGGCCTGCGCGTACGACGCGGCGGCGTGGCGCTTGGATAGGCCCCGGTCGCAGATGAACTTCCGGGACGTCTTCACGCGCGAGCAGGCGCAGCGTGTCGCCCCTCCGCCGCGTCTCATCACCGACATGGACCGTGTCGACTACGCTTGGCGCTGCCGCCGCCTCCTCATCGCCGAGGAGGACGAGTGAGCCATGGCGGAGTGGCGTCGTCGCCACCCGGAGAACGTCACCGACGAGCGTGCCTACTGGGCGGAGAGGACGGCAAGGCGCCACGCGGAGCGGGCGGACCGGCGTTGGCGGAAGGCATTGGCGAATGCGCAGTGCGATATCGTTGAAGCAGGTGGGAGGTCGATCTTCACGTCAGACGATGAACGTTGGGACGACATATGGCTCGATACCTCGGACAACACCGACGAGGATGGTGATGATGGTAGCGACTTGGAGTAGTTTCTATCTATGTATGTCGTAGTAGTTTCTATCTAGTTGCACCGTAGTTCTATCTATCTATGCTTTCGAACTATCTATCTAGTTGCACCGATGTAAAATACCTTTGTATCGTTTTTTATCTATGCAATTTATCGTTTTTTATTATCTTAATATTTATCTATGCTTTCGAAAATGTTGTAAAAATGAGCGCGCGTGCTGCATTTTTGCGCGCTGCTGGAGCGGCGCGCGCGCGCTGCATGTTAGCGCGGCTGCTGGAGTCAGCGCCGCGCGCCGCGCCAAACCAGACGATGGACGCGCGGCAAAGCTGTTTTTTGCGTGCGGCGCGTTCGGCGCCTGTTGGAGATGCTCTTATGAAGCAGACCGTCAAATCCTTTTCTTTTCTTCTCTATTACTAGCTATTTGCCCGTGCGTTGCAACGAGACCATACATATTCCAATAGTATAACATCAATTGTGTATGTTTATAGGATACTCATGCACAGCAGACAACATTGTTCTCCCACAAAAAACAACAACATTATTGACTATTGTTTCACCACTCAATCACACTCTTCTTCTTTCACCACTATTCCCACCTCTTCGTCGCCCTACTCCAAGTAGCCTCCCTAGTCCAATCTATCCACACGGTTCTCAATAGTGCATCCGGGTCGCATCCTCAACCACTTCCACCCTCACACACACACTGGAATTTCAAGCACGCAACCATGTAGTTGGGGTATATTTTCACAATGTGCTTCTCTTAGCAAGGAGTGGTTGGTGGAGGTTTTGATATTTCAAGATTTCCTATATTGCATCCTAATTGGTGATTAGAAAGAAGCCAAGGATCAATAGAGTCATATTATTCCAGAAGCAGAAACAGTAAAACAGAAACAAATATTCTGGAGGTTAAAGATTTGTACAAGTTCAACGAAGACTAATGCATGCTACCACATCAAATTCCTTTAGCAAGATAATACTTTCCCAAAATATGTTTAACATCTAACTTTTCCAATAATTGTACGACGGCTCCATGAAAATAAACTGAGCAGTGCTACATGGACGATAATATTGGACGATTGCGGACAACAATTAAATGCAGCGGAGAAATCTTGTCCATGGCCGAGCAACGACCGCTGGATTCTCTAGTCCTGCACATATCGCCCTAAGTTTGACGTGTCTGGATCACTTTCGAAATTAAATTGGATTGAATCATTTGTACTCTGATTCAATTTTGTGAATTTTGCACCTCGAGCTTTAGGTCGAACAATATGTGAGATAGTCCTAGAATATACCGGGAGATTGGATGATTTGCCACACTTTACTTGGTGCTTAGATGATTCGCCCTGCTTTAGTTAGGATTAGATGATTTGCCCCATTTTTCTTTTATCTTTTGATCATTTGCCCTAATCTGTATTCTAATTAATTTTTAATTATTGTAATTCAAAGAATCAACGTGGAATGACCTTTGTGCCCCTATGGTAGTTTTGCAATTTCTATGCCTAATCTACCTGGTTCGACCCTTCATAGTTCATATTGAACCTGCTGCTCGTCCTTCTCGCTACTCTTATTACTGAAACACCGATGCAGCAAGAACACGAAAGTAGAGCTGCAGCTCAGCGGCCCGGTGGCTACTACTGCCGCTCGGAGGCCCGGCGGTTCCCGCTGCTGCCCGACGGCTCGACTGCCCGGCAGCTTCCTCTCCACCCTAGTGGCTCCCACTTCTGCTCGGCGGTCCGGCGGCTCCCGTTGTTGTTCGAAAGCCAGAGGCTCCTGGTGCTGCTCAACGGCCCAGTGCCTCCCTCTGCACCTGGGTGGCTCATGCTGCTGCTTGGTTGACGGCCGCTCCCTCTACTGCTCGGTGACACGGCGCCCACCCGGCGACCAAGTGCCCTGTATTCCCTTGCTCCTTTCGATCCCCTTGCTCCACTCGATTCCTCCGCAAGGCAGCATGCAGCTTACAGCAGGGGGGAGATTTAGTGTTTGACCAGTGCATTTTGAGCATTTTCCTCTGATCCCTTACTCTGAACTTGTGCATAGAATTTTGAGAGATCCCATTATCCCATGTAAGCATAGGTTCTGCATCAGTTACTAATGTTTCTATCTTGAACAGGAATACATGGACAATCAGTTAAATGATTTTTTTGCCTCTTAGATAGGAGTCATATCTCATTCAATAGATGACTCTGTGTTCACATTTAGAATTAATGCATATCTTCACACAAAATAAATGATTCAGAGTTCACATCTCACAATTTATCACAAGTTGCCACACGAAACAAATAAATGATTCAGAGTTCACATCTCCTAATTTAAAATAAGTCATCACATCATTGAAATCAACCTAGCATCTTAATGCAATAAAATTTCAGTGTTTTTTCTTCCTTAGGGTCAATTTCTTCCTGGATGCTATAGAGCTTGAAGGCATGTCAAAAAGAGTTGCTCGAGAAGAACATTTTTTGTTCAATATGTTGGTCAATCACAAGATGAGACATTGTCAAAGAGACCCAGGACAACATATTAGTCTCACCCATCTGGAGCGGCAGCCGTTGTAGGTTTGTTGTCCTTGCCACCGCTGTCACCGTGGAACATCGCGGCTCCTGCGAAGTTGCCGGAGTCACCTCGCCTTGCCCCGTCATGATTGCTGGAGTGGTTGTGCCCATATGTGACTACTTGTGGCTGCCAGTCTGCTTCTCGTCCTGGTCCATAGCGGTGATGGTGGCTCCGGCGATCTTGTGCTCGTGAGGATGGTGCAATGCTAATGGCGTGCTGCCTTTTTACCATAGAAGAGAGAGTTTATGGCCTTATACATAAGAGATTTGGTGAGTTTATGACAGAGATAGATTGATTATTTGGTTTCCGTGTGTTTATAACCTTACCATATGTGAATTGATTTATTATTGTCATATTTGCCATTTTCGTGAGGTTATGACCTTACCATACATGAATTGATTTATTACCATAATTGCCATATTTGAGATTTTCGTGAGTTTATGGCCTTACCATACGTGAATTGATTGATTACCATATTTGAGATACGTGGGGTTTTCACGTGAGACGAAAAAACTCAGTAAGAGAGAAAAACCGGTTGAAGGGGGAGAAAAATCGGTGGAGGGGGGAGAAAAATCGGTGGGAGTGGGGGTTCTCGTACGTGGAGGGGCAGACGAAAGGTGGGACGACGTAAGAGGGGAGAGGAAACGTTACGTTTCTTTTAGATAGTAGAGATAAGTAGTAATACTTCTTTCATGAAACAAAGCCTTCCCTAAAAAAATAGAAAGAAAGCCCGCAACATGTACGGTGGGAGTGGGACCCACCCGCCCACGACGCCTTCCTTCCTCCTTTTCTCATATAACTAGCAAAAAAGCCCGTGCGTTGCAATGGGTATAAAATAAACATGAGAGTTCGTGTGGTATTCAATAGTTTACCTACCATGGTGAATAATATGAATTTCCAATTAAAATTGGTTGTAGGACTTATAAGGGTCCCATTTATGAAGATCCCATTGTACCCCAAAAGCTCGTAATCTTCTTCTCGTAATCTTCTTCTCTGCTAATAAAACCTACCCCTTCAAATCGCCCTAAAGAAATTGGAATATGTGTAATAAATTGTTAATATTCAAAAATCATGTGTAAAAATAGTAACAAAAATATAAACATTTATTGGTTCAGTAGATCAAAAGACTACTCCTTTGATGCGAAAATAATTGTGCATCATTTGTATACGTGTAGCAGATTCAAATAGATCATATATTAATTCCTATATCTCTCATTCCCTATTAACATTTATTCATATTTATACTTTCCCACTTGAAAAAAATGATGGCTGGAAAGTAAAGAGTTTACAATGTTTGGCGCTCTTTTGTTGACACATTGCCGACGGTAGTAGGAGCACACCCTTCACGTCAACATGATCATTTACCAAGACATTATTACCTAGCCTCATTGGGGACCATGATTGGGATATGCAGGCCGCGGGATCAATAGATGGT